ATATATATATATATATACATAACTCGTTACCGGTCCGCATCTTCTATAAAGATTTCCACTTTTATAGCCCGTATTTTAAAATCACCTAATTAAATCTGAAATATTAATTTAGGACAATAATAAGCTAAACAATGTCAGTGAATACTACTTAAAAACTAAAGTAATACAATAAAAAAAAGAAAAAAATATGTATGAAAGCCAAGGTTTTAATAAATCAATAAAAATATTGAATAGTATTCAAAGAACTTTACAATATCAGTAACATATAAATATCATATGTATTTGTACAACCGTCACAGTAGCACCGTCTAAAAATAATGTCAATTAAGACACATCAATATTAACATCATTTTCCATGTACGTGCACGGGTGTCTTGGTGTCCTCCATTAGTACTATCAAGGAGCAGCTCCAACATAATTAGTCAAATAATCAACATAAACATATAATTCTCTTACTCATCTCATTCAATTTAGCATACTATATAAAACATACACCAGTGCATGATAATAAGTTTCTAAAAAATGTCTGAACAATATGACCAATAAAAAAAAGAATATCTTATTCAAAATGAAACATCCGAAACTTAATTAACTGCAAAATAACTGAGAAGAAACAAATTATTACTATAAATTAAAGGTACGAGTACTCATATCAATGATTGACAATTAATTTACTATTTGATTTGTCTTATTGTTGACTCTTCTAAAATTGAAAACATAAAATGAACATGATATTCATTTTACTAAAATTCAATTTTATTGATTATGTTACTCAAATTTAATAATTATTCAAATTATTTTAATTAGTTAAAATTTTTCATTATTATTTTTATTATTTTTATATATATGCTTTTTGAATATTCCTGTTTATTTTTCCAACGCATCATTAAATAATATCATTATTTTTTACTTTAAAAAAATACACATTTTCATGGATAGATGAGGTGACAAGTGTCAAAATTGAAGTTTAGGTATTTGACATGTAAATACATAAGAAATGAGTGTTATGCATTTAATTCTTCCTATAAAATAATACTTAGGGTTTTTTTACTTTTAAAAAATATAATATAAAAGAAATTTAGTGCAACTGAAAATGCACTTTTTTTTTTACTTAATTTGAATAAAAGTAAAATCAATGTAAAACAAAGAGAGACGACAATGAAAGCCGCTCGTTAACCATGATGGTAGCTGGTAGCTAGCAAAGGTGGGCTACTTGCTGTCGTCGCCCAAAAACCACCATTCGCGGCTGATAGCTATAGTTGTAGGCACCATTAGCTGCCAGCCGCCGCCGTCTGTCACCATAAGCTGTTAGGTGCTGGAGACCGCTTCCCTGATCGCGAATCGCAATCTCCCGCGAACTCCCGCTTCCGCCTTCTCGCGAAACGGCACTCCCGTTCCCATCTCCCGCTCCCGCCTCTCCTTTCGTTTTTCGCGAATCGGCGCCCGATCCCGCTCCCGATTGTGAAGAGTCACAGCTCCATGCTGCTGCGAACCATTCCCGCCTTCTCTATTGCTCGAAGCGAAGCATCCCTTCACTCCCTTCTCTTCGTGATAAAAAGAGCTGCACTCCTTCAGATTTGGTAGTTATGTGAAGTTACGGTGTTCTTCTTCGGTTTTCCTCGGGATAGAGGAAGGCTTCCTCGACAGAGGAAGAGAAGTGCAAGAGGTAGTTCCTTGAGGCAGGAGGAATAAAAAAGAAGAAGAAGATTGTTCTCCATAGACTTCTTCATGGTGACTTGTGACAGAAAAGAAATTGGGTTTATTTCTCTTGTACGTATTTCTTCTTCGGTGTATCTCAGTGTAGAGTTTCTTCGGTGTATCTCGGTATAGAAATAGAAGAACGGAGAGAGAAGCAGAGAGAGAGCAACGAAGAGTGAGAGATTCCTCTTGTAAGTCGAGATGATCGACTAGTGTAAATTC